GACTTGTCAGCAACTGTGACAGCAACCAGCAACACAGTGAAGTAGAGCCCTATTTACTCAAACCCCACCGCTTCTTCGATCTCTCATCCAGCATCTCCAAATCAACACTTCAGCACACGCCAGGACTGTTGGTGGGGAGCAAGGAGCAAGATAGTTTTCCTAAGTTCAGTAATAATAAGGATCCAAAGGGCCTTAAGGTTTGTCCTCGAGTCTTTGGCCTTCTTTAGGCATTTATCTGTCGTGGTTCAGTCCATCGCATATCTTTCACCAGCCTGCTCGTGTCAGGGCTTGCATTATCAGTCTCCTGTTAGAAGGGAGATCTGTTATGACCCATTACAACCCTGCAAATGATCAGCTAGGAAGATGTTAGGTGAAGATGAAGAACTACTGTATTAGATGAAGATTACCCTCAATAGAAACTATTGCAGTACCTGTAAAAAAACATTTACTATGGATTCAGCATCTGTAAGAAAGACAAATCTAATTCCAGTTTCACTAAAAATACAGCAAAGGGTTAGATCACTTTTCACAGTATGACATCCAGACAGAATCAAATTTAATTAGTTACCAGACAAGATTTACCATCCTCCAGTGCTTATGAAACCCACAGTTGGTATCAGGGCCAGAACATTCTCACTTCACTGTTGCACTTGCAGTTAGTCACCAGCCTTATGTAGGATGTCTTTGAAAACATTCACCCTTACAGATTACTGCAAAGTAACATAGTGGAAGTAAGTATAACATATGAATAGGTGTGCTTATTTTATAAATGGCTTTAGACTGCTTCCAAAGACACAGGGAAACTGGATTTTGCCAAGTTTGTCTAAGTTTATTTGTCTCTACAAAACATTTTATCTTGAGACAGCAGTATTTTTTGAGGACTGAAGAGCTGGCATTAGAGGGAGTTTTCTTTGTAGTTATTCATGCACCAGTAGAACTAGGCAGCTCATATACCAAAATCAGGAATTTTTTTGCCAAGCATATTATTTATTCTGCAAAAACTCAAATTAAATGTGCACACATTAAAAAAACTGAGACTTAGTCATAAGGGCAAAAGAACACTGTTTCAACATTTTGCCCCTAAGGCTAAATAAAAGATACGACTCTTCCTTGGAAAGCCTTCTGTGATTCTCTTCTCTCAACATCAATTTCTTATAATAAAAAACAGCCGGAATTTCATTACATCTTCTCATAAATAATTTACTGACTGCACGAAAGAGGAGATAAATGGAAGGACCTTCTTTATCACCCTTGTGATTGCACTGAGCACAGTCCTGGTGAGATGCCACTGAACTGTGTCTCCAGACTTTGATTTTGGGTATTCAGATCCATGAACACAGTTGCATGGAACTACAGATGTTTTACTCAGACAGTAAGTAAAGCAGTACAGTAGGGGCTCATTTTTACTGTTGTTTATTATTTTACTACTAGCTTACCCCACCAGAGAAAAGGCAGAATTGCCAGTTCAGTTCTATAATTCAAGTTAACGTATAAATCCAAGCCTCCAGAGTTTTAGGGCCAGTGACACTATTTGTCTTAGAAATGCAGAAGCAATATAATCATTTAATTGAAAGTGATTAAACCAGGGCAACCAATGGAAATACATTCAAACTCATGGAAATTCTTAGGTAACAGTGATTTTATTATAGCTTTACCTTTATCTTTACCTCTGAGCTAAATGTGTTTGGATTATTCCTGTGTGGATGATCAGAAAAATCACTAGATTTTGTTTTTGTTCATTGGCAAACAATTAAAAGCCTCTTCCCAATAGTGTTGGGGTCTTACTATCTCATCAGACTAAACCCTTTGCTGTGGGCACCGCATGACAACTATTTCTGTTTTCCTAACAGAACATGCTGCCATCACATAGTTGATCATTTTCTCTTGATTAAAGAAACCTCTTTTTGGCATTAGGGAAAAAAAAAAAAAGGGTAGGGAGTTAACAAATTAAACTCTTTCCCCATCTTATATGCACAGTGCTTGGTGACACAGGCAAAATACTGTCCCTTTAATTTACTGTCACATCAGCACTATATGGAGACTAGAGGACAGGGGTGATGTGGAAATCCAGCTATTTTGCTTTATTTCATGGGTTTCCCATTAAGCAGGATAGGGGTTAGGGGGTGGAAGGGAGTTTCCCTCTCTGTGGTTCAGTTATGATAACTATTTACTTTGATACACCCATTCCCCTGGTTCCAGTGTCCAGGGGTGGTCATTTATCTTCTCATTATTGAGGTGTTAGCACATACCTGTCAGTGAGTTTGGCTCAAACTGACAAAAATTGCCGTGTAACCACATGAAATATGGATGATTTTAGTATGATCTTTTTTTTCTGTGCTCATGCTTCACTTTAAGAAGCATGAGCACAGAAATCTTCGATCCTTCCCTGAATTTGTTCTAAAATCTAACATCTGGGGGATAGAATTTCCCAGGCCAGAAGTAATAGACTGCAGAGTTGCTTGGGCCATCTTTCACTGGTTTGTGTATGCCCTACAGTCAGGCCCTTTAACAAGGCTTAAATAAAAAATAACATCCCTAGAGTATGATGGTTCAGACCAGTTGTAAACTGTTAGCTAGCTGACACACAGAGAGCTTTCATAGTCTCCTTTTTTTCTAGCACTTAATTGCTAATTTCTTGGTTTATTAAGGGTTTCTTGTAGTCCTAATATCTAACTCAGAGTTCTCATTGATCTCCACTCCCCATTAGCTGTCAGCTTCAAGAGAGTCTAAAATTATTTAATATTGTGAATTTTCACTTAAAACAAAAATGAAGTTCAGAAAAAATATTCTTTGTCTCTGCCTGGTCCCTCCCCACTAATAAGATGTTTCAGTGGCCCCTGGTAGTACCTCTCCATTTGGGAACAAGAAGTTGAAATATGGCAAAAGAACAACACTTTTCTGTCAGGGATGGTTTTTTTTCCTTTCACCTACACATTCAGATATGATGACTGGGATGTAGTCCCAGCTCTCCCCATTCCCTGGAATTTACACAATGAAGTTTCCTAACTATGAAAGGAGGGGGGAAATTAGGCTTTACCTTTCAGCTGTTCTCTGAAATGATAATTTTTAAAGTGAGTAAAGAATAATAAAAGCTGAAGCCTTGACTCATCTCACCTTTAACATGCTTTTGGATCAAGGGATTGTGTGTTTCCTCCTTTTTATCACTTCCATGCTGGCAGGACCAATGCAGTTTAATATCAGTGACTGCTAGTGCAGTGTTGGGGGAGTTTGTTAGTTTTTGATTAAATAGACATGTTATCTTATTGGTATATAAATGAAAGGTGCTCCTGATGCATTCCATCTCTTTACACTTCCATTTCAACCTGTCTTTCAGGGATGTTCACCCCCAAGGAATGCATTAAGGGAAATCCACATAAGGATTAAGCAGCAGAGTAACCAATGTTGGTATTGCATATTCAAAGCAAAAAAATACAAGAATTTCCTTTTAATTGAGCTACAACAAGTAGAGCTCCTCTCTAATTTCCTGTACAAAACATTGCAAATATGTGAAAACTTAAAATTCAAAAATATTTTCAGTTAGCTTTTGTGTTATCTGATGGGGCAACAAAAACTGAATTGATGCCATAAGTAATATTCAACTAGAAATCTGTTTTCTAACCAGAATAACTATTTTATTTGAATAAACAAGAGCCAGGCAGAGAGTTTCAGAGCACGTAGAATAGTTTCAATCAACATTAGAAGAATATTATTAAAAAGTAGCCCCTCATATCCCTTTACAGTAAATAACATGAGAGACTAAGGAGACACAGAGGAATATTAAATTTCTCTAATGATACGATCTTATTTCCAAAAATAGAATATGCATTGAACAGTCTTTTTTTTATGTACAGTCCATATAAAACTAGAGTCAAGGATTAATTATTCTGTGTAAGAACTGCTGTGATAATACATGAATTTTGCCCATCATCCATATTCCAATGTTCCCTTTGTATTTGGGCTTTTCAAGATAATGATCCTTCAACCTATATTCATGATCATGTTCCATCAAAGCTGGATGACTTTTTTATTTGAATGAATGTTGCAAGTTTTCTCTCAGCTAACTCACATCTTGTATTCTCATTGTATAAAGTAAAGGTGATGAATAAGTATCAGAACACCACTGCATTTTAGATTCTCAAGAAAAATAAACACTTTGGCTCTACAACAAAAGAAGAATTTTGCTAAACTCCTCAGAAAGACCATCCCTTTAAATATTTTAATTTCCTTTATTACACATGATTCATGATTACTCTTCTATAACCAGGAGTACACAACAGGAAATAAGATGTTACACTCATTCATTCTGCATTTTGTCAAATAACTTTAAAACTCCATCCACACTGACATTTTTCAAAAAGAAGAAAAAACAAATTAATTGCAAAGAATGGTATATTTTTTTAAAAAGTATATTATCCTACTTTTATTCCAACTTCAAGTTACACTATTCCCTGTTCTCAAGTCAAAATCATTCCTGTACATATACACATTCATTGCTAGTTGCTCTGGTCTGTTTTATTTCAGCAGTATTTTCCTATGTTAAACAAAATGGACGACAAGAAAGTGTTGATATAAATGTACAAAGAAGATGCTTCCTATGGGATGTTGAACAGGAAGTTCATAGTCTTCATACAAATATATAAAATATTTCAAATTATCTCCATTCCTCGGAATCCATTAGATTTCACTTGTCAGACCTGTGTGACAAATAAAAAACCAGAAATTAATCATTATCAGTGCACTCACGTGTGTTTTCAGACCATGCAGAAAAGCACCTGTAAGTTGTGAGGGGGAGTGCACTCCCCACACCTGCAATTTTGCTCTTGCTGACTGTA